TCATCTTTTAAAAGCTAATGTCAAAGTTACGCATTAAGAATCAATATAATCAACAACAGAATTATTGAACGTCTGTCGCAAACGTTATATAAAATGTATTAAATATATTGAACCCTCGCCTAAAGCTATAAGTCCAACTCTCCGTTATTGCTGTGTTCACCACATATCACCACTTGGTAAGTAACCATGAAATGCATAACTCTACCAATTATGAAATCTATTTATTATTACTGATTTTTAAAAGCAAAGTCGGATAGCTTGTTTTGTTTTGGAACTACCTCACTTCCCCTTTCCTTTATTAAGAAAAACTCTGCCGCATTTCAAGTAAGTTGCAATACGGTGAAAATATGTTTTTGACATTGTATTTTACTACCTTTTCTTCTATACTAAATTTTAAGAAATAATACCTCTACCCTAAGTTTTTGTGTCACAAAGATTGTAGTTATTCAAACGGGTAGAAACATTTGGCTTCTGAATCTCCCCTTAAAGGTTGTTATGTCGACTTTGTTTAATCATGCAGTTTATATGTTTCCACTCATTTACAAATTTATTAATAAAATGTTTCAGTGACACCCTCACCATTCATACTGGGAAAAACATGCATTTATTTCAACTAAGACAATTCGCCACAAATTTTCTAAGAAAAAAATATAATTCTAGTGTCACATTTGTCCCTAACCAAACAGACGGGACAGGTGTGTTGGCAATCGAGCGATAAAGCGACATTAAAAACCCCCTAACAACACCTTAATGATTTAAAACACGAAATAGCGGCTCTGTTTTCCTGTCTTTCTAGGTGCAGTTCCATTTTTTTCCTTTCAATAATTTCGCGTAATAAAGAATTCAGTTCTTTCTGTCAATAACACGTGATCTTAGTTTAAAATGATTGAAAAGGGGAAGCCGAAAAAAGGATGAGAGTTAAGGCTCATTTTGCTACAAATCCCATCCTTGCCATGTAGAAGGTTAATTTCTTTCAAGAGATAATAGCCTGAGTTTATTAACTCCTGCATATTTTCAGTAAAAATCAGTTACTTAATCTGCGGCGTAAATTTGTCGTTCATAATGTAACATACTATCCTGACCAAATTTATATTGACTCATGTTTGTTTACCCGGGTTCATATTAAAACATATGCTTATTGCAAAAATGAAAGGCGACACATGACAACTATCTTTCTTACCAACGTCGTGTTACCCTACGATAACAATTTCTGGAATTCCTTTCCGTTCCGGTCAACGACTTCCCATTTAAATGCCTTTAAACTGATGTTATAGCTTGATACCTGTTTGATGTCAATTTCAAAGGATTTTTAAGGCGCAGGTAGGTGGAATCTAGCAAGAGAACGTTCCACGCTAAGGGTAAGGCACCGGGGACTTTGTCCCTTAAGTTCTTCTTTGATCCCTGCTCTCTGCCACAGGTCTGCTTAATATACGGATTCAATCTCTTTTCTTTAATCACCATGTGGCAGACTCTGAATCTCATCACTTCTACCAAACTCTGACTCTGATTCTTACGAAGTACTAACCTGTAAACCAACTGACCGTATCAGAATCCAGATCAGTGCCTTTAAACTGATGTTATAACTTGATACCTGTTTGATGTCAATTTTAAAGTATTGGCAAGGCGCAGATAGGTGTGATTTAGCTAAAGAACTTCCAACGCTATGGGGAAGGCACCGGAGACTCTGTCCTTTACGGTCTTCTTTAATCCCTGTTCTCTGCCACAGGTCTGTTTAATATAGATTCAATCTCTTTTCTTTAATCACTATGTGGCAGACATCTGAATCTCATCACTTCTACCAAACTCCAACTCTGATTCTTACGAAGTACTAACTTGCGAACCAACTGACTGTATCAGGATCCTGACCTACTTTCACGAGAAATGGATGAAATCGTCAATCGATAAACTTTAAAGTGTCACAGTATGGCTCCAATCTTTAGTCGGGTTGAATACGAGCGTAATAACATTAAAGAAAACCTAATAGCGTATATATAATAACGTATTTAGCCAAATTTCCCAGACTAGACGTTCTTATCAAAAAGTCATCATAAAAAAAATTGCCAAATGAAAGAAAATGACGGTTGATTGTGCAAGATACAAAGTAGGGAAAGTTTAGTATGAAGAAGGTGAATTACTCCAAAAGCCATCTTCATCTTCAATTCAACTAAACGGCAGCATGAACTTACACTGATAATTTAATATCTGAGTCAAAATGAAATTTTGTTATTCATTATCTGACCTCGTAACCTAAAAATTGTCCAACTCTCGGCCTAAAAAAATTTAGAAACTACGTAAAATCATCGCCTTTTTTCAAATACAGCTGTCGTTGTTTGCTTTACTGACTGAATGTTTCTTAAAAATCATTTCAATTTTGAGAATATTCACAGCCCATTTGGATATTCTAAACCTACTTCGGAACTTAGCACGAGGTCCACCCTCATTTCTTGACTTATCTGGTGGTAACAGGTACCTGTTGATCCTAGAACCTGGTGAATGACCTTTTAAAATTATTGACGAAAATGTATGAAATCCGGTTCGCTTATATCTTCAAAATTTCTCACAACGATAGAAGCTTTCCCTTATCTCCTTTAACGTGGTTTAAACTGCAGTGTTGGGATTTAGTTTTTACTTGGATCAATCAATTCAAACTGATTTGCTTTTCACGATACTTTTGGAAAACCTCTTTGAAAGAAAAAGGAATTTTCTCTAACAGTGAAATAAGAGAAAAGAAAAGCCGTGCTTCATCGCGTAAATGAGTGCACTTACAAGAAGAAACAAAAGAACCCTTGTCTAAAAATGTATTTCTTTACATTCCTTTTCCTTGATACGGCCATTCCTCAGAGTATTCCTTTTTACTGATATCGAAAAGCATGAAAATCAAAATAATATAAATAGTTAGTCTCTTCCAATAGTTCACCGGTTTATCTTTATTTGCTCGCCTAGGAATTCGAAGAATTAATAACATTGATTCATAAAAATACATTGGATTGCTTCAGAAAATTTGGGCCATTATGGTGTAACACGTTAGCCTAACCCTACCTGACTTTCCTCGTTCCTAGGTCCAAATTAAATAAACGTAATAGCTGCGTTTCTGAAACTTCGAAATAGCATAACAACTATTTTAATCCATAGCCTGTTGTCAGAAAAATACGTTGCTCAGTTTCTAATTCAAATTAGTGATTGCCTAAATGATTTCTTCAAGCAGGTGGAATAATTTGATACATCTTTCAAAAGCCAGTGTCAACGTCATGCATTGAGAACAACAGAATTACCGAACGTCCATCGCAAACTTTTACAATATATTGAACCCTTGCTTAGAGCTACAGCACGACTGTTTATCTCTCCGTTATTGCTGTGATCGCCACCTATCACCTCTTGGTAAGTAACCATGAGATGCTTAGCTCTGCCAATTGTGAAATCTATTTTTTATTATTATTGATATTTAAAGCAAAGTCGGACAGCTTGTTTTATTCTGGAACTACCTCACTTCCCTTTTCCCTTTTAATGAAATCTCTGCCACATTTAAAGTAAGTTACAGTGCGAAGCAAGTACATTTTTAAGTCGTATTTTACAAACTTTTCTCCGTGCGCTAGATGTTAAGAAATAACTCCTCCACCCTCAGTTTTTATGTCACACTGATCGAGGTAATTGCAAACGGTGCTACGTGGGTGGAACTTAAAATCTCTCGGCATATTGCGCACTTTCTTGATTAAATCTATGATAGCACCTCGTTTCACGCCTGTATTAAAAACAAAGTACAGAGTGAGAGTTTCTACGATATCAGTCATACTACGATTTGAATTAACTTGAGACTTGAAAGACATTTCAAAACGAGGAGAGTTTTATAATTGCTCACTCAAATATGATATTTCGGTAAGGTGCAACAAAATGAGCTTCCGAATCTCCACTTTAAGGTTGTTCCTATGTTGACTTTGTTTATTCAGTTTATATGTTTCCACTCATTTACAAATTTATCAATAAAATGATTCAATGACACCCTCAACATTCCTACCAAGGAAAACAAGAGTTATCTCAACTCAGACAATTCGCCACAAATTTTCTAAGGAATAAAAATAATTCTAGTGTCACATTTGTCCCTAACCAAACAGAACGGACAAGTGTGTCGGCAAACGATCGACAAAGCGACCACAAAAACCCCCTTAGAAGACCTCCATTATTAAAAACACGAAAAAGAGGCTCTATTATCTTGTCCTTCCACGTGCAGTTCCATTTTTTCCTTTCAATAATTTCGAGTAATAAAGATCTCAATTCTTTCTCTAAATGACACATGTTCAAGCAATAAAAAAACCTTTGTTTATATTCATTGGAAAGAGGAAGGAAAAAATGATGAAAGTTAACGCTTATTTTGCTACAAATTCCATCATTGCCATGTAGAAGTTTTACTTCTCTCAAAAGATGATAACCTGAGTTTATGATCTCCTGCATATTTTCAGTCAAAATCAGTAATTTAATATGCGGTGTAAATTTGTCATTCACTGGGTAACATGCTAACCTGACCAATTTTATATTGACCCATATTTGATTAGCCGGGTTCATACTGAAACACATGCTTGTTGCAAAAATGAAAGGCGACACAAGAAGACTATCTTTCTTACCAACGTCTTGTTAATATGTTAAAAATTTCCGGAATTCCTTTCCGTTCCGGTCAACGACTTCCCATTTAAGTGCTTTTAAACTGATGTTACAACTTGATACCTGTTTGATATCAATTTCAAAGGATTGTTAAAGCGCAGATAGGTGGAATCTAGCGAGAGAACGTTCAACGCTAAGGGGAAGGCACCGGGAACTGTGTCCCTTAAGTTCTTCTTTAATCCTTGTTCATTGCCACGGGTCTGCTTAATATAGATTCGATCCCTTTTTCTTTAATCACTATGTGGCAGACTCTGAATCTCATCACTTCTACCAAACTCTAACTCTGATTCTTACGAAGTACTAACTTGCGAACCAACCGACCGTATCGGGATCCTGACCTCCTTTCACGAGAATTTTACGAATGAACAACTTACCTGACGTTTCTGATCAAAAAAACAATCTTTGATTGCGAAAGCCAAAAACAAAACAAAAAAAACAACTTCAGTAGTGTTGGTCTCGGGCAAGAACAGAAGACCAAGCAGGCCCTTCCACTACTGAATGATAGCCAAGTTAGTCAACATAAGGTAATAGCTAAAACCCAATTCAATATAGCTTCAGACTTCGAATTACAAACTTACCGTGACACAATGAATCACTGAATCATACTGCCCTATAGTTCACTGACTCCAAGACAGTAATGAAGTAAACGACCGTCTAAGCACTTTACTGAACAGTTCTTAATTCATGTCAGTTCATTTAGATCCTGCATAAGACGACCGGACCAAGAAAAATGAAGACAACAACCGTTTGGTGTTTAGTAATTGCTATCTCAGTGTTAGCCGTTACCGAGTCCTCGAAAAGAAACTCCACAGGTAGATACAAACAATCTATATGTCTCTTAATTGATTACATGCGTGAGTTTATGGCCTATGTTCGTTGTGCCAGGTGTGTCGTAGGAGTTGTAGCAGCATTCGTTTCTCGCGTCTTCTATCTAACTTAGTCGTTCATGTAGTTGTTTCTGCGAAGAAAAAGACACGTCTGCATTTGTTGTTTGGTCGCATAAATTGACTTGTGTGGCCTGATTTTTGAAAGATTCGTCTTTAAAAAAGTGTGTTCTGGTCATGTTTACGCGCTTCCCCTTGAAGTGCGTCACGGTCGTGGGAGTTGATTATGTGTTGCGTTTTAATTGAAAAATAATCGTGGTCATTGCAAGATTCATCTATTATGACCATGTGGTCTTTAAAAGGAAGTTTGCAATCGTCTTTGTCTTCTATCATTTCACCAAGGAAATTAAACCTACACCAACTAGCTCAAGACAAGCCACCAGCGCTCTGAGATGAGTTTTCACAGCGTTTCCGAAACAGGCCGATGAATACAAGCTACCTTACCCAACGATTCGTAACCTATCGAACGCAGCTAACGAAAGCTACAGTAAAGACCTGCATATAAGAACCTAGGTTTTTAAATTAACCTCCGTATAAACGGAATTAGACTATACTTAGGTTCTAAATCAGGTTCTTAATATAAGTGTAAAAGGGGGAAATGTAATGTATTAGGACAGCCGTAGTTCGTAAATATATACGGGAACTTAAAGTGTGTGCGAGAGCGCGGGGAAAGTGAGGAGTGATTTACTTCGTGTGCTCGGAGTAAAGTGTATGTTTTTAAGCCTTTGTGGCTTCACTACATTACAGGAAACCTCTACTCGTGAGTGTATGCCGACCTCAAAGTGCCCTCCTTTACATGGTTAGTTAGTCGGATATGTTGTACAGCTACGGATGTATTGACAGTACAGTATCGTGGTCTTGCAACACTGTCCGTGTTTGGACTAGTTTTTTTTTTGCCCTTTTTGTATCGCATATGATGTACGGTGATATATTTAAAAAAGACTCTGTATTAAAATTGTAGCCTAGAATGGTTCTTATGTGAAGGGTGAAGGGTGAACTGGGAAATTTTAGCCAAACGTGATCGGTAAAATTAATTCTACTTGAGTTGTTAAATTAAACTGATGAAGCTACCTAATCCTTGTTTGGCAATATTGTAACCGATTGTGTGATTTTCCTTTAGAGGAATCGCCAAGTGAAGGAAAAAGATTTCTCTGGGGCGGACCTACCGTTCCCCCTTTTTTCGTTGGAGGCAAGCGTCCAGTTGGAATTCCTGACATTAATCGAGGCACAGAAATCCAGCAAGGAGCGCCCCCTTCTTTTGTTTCACTCTTCGATCCAACCACAAACACTCCTTTTTACTCAGCCTACAAAGTTTTGCCCGTGCAGGCAAAGGACATTGACAAGAATTCGAGGCCCAGAAATCAAAAATGGAGGAATCCTCCAGGTACGTAAATGACTATTTGACAATTATTTATTACAAGACCGATTGGAGGACAATCAATCCATAAAGCAAATACAGAAGCCTGGAGTAAACCGCGCGTTACTTCAAAACACGCAAAGTCATTAAAGAAGTGGGGAAAGCCATCCTATTGTTTCTTCCTAAATTTTTTTCTGCAAAACAAAGCCTTTTTTGCAAAGAATCTCTATGTTTTCAAGAGAAATAAAAAAGCAGTCAGAAGGCTTCATACTTACGTAATTTCAGAAAAGAGATAAAAAAGCGATGTGATTCCCTGGAATGTTCAAAGATCACTTTCAGTCTGTAACTAGTAATTTTATCATACTGGAAAGTACAAAATATCACCACTGTCGTCATCGTATTCATAAAAATATGATGTGATTATTTAAATGTGAGAAGTTATCCGTATTCATGGAAGAATGTGGCTTGTGATTATAGGTGTTCCTGGTGTCGATGATGCTTATAAACAAGCCAACGTAGAAGCTCAAAACAATTATGGGAATCAACTTACCAGAGGCCATATGAATCCCTCAGGTATCAACTCCTTTGACATAAATTTCATGAAGGCTACTTTCACTCTTTCGAATGCTGTACCTCAGTTTGAGGCATCAAACAGCGGACCTTGGCAGGTTTTTGAGAATAAGATAAAAGATTATGCCAAAATTACCTGTGGGAGCATAACCCGCCAAGGAACACTTTACCTACTGACAGGCAGATCCGAAAATGGCCTTAATGGCGTACCGAAGCCGCACCTTACGAACACATTTCAAGTGGGACCAACAACAGTAAGACTTGATACTCCTCGGGCTGTTTGGACGGCGGGATGCTGTGTGTGGAAGGAGCCCGGAAAGTTCTTTGGAAAATTATGGCAAACTGAAAAGGCCGAGTCCTTTGCAGTGATGAGCAACAATCATTACGACAGAAACCAGCTACACCAGACAGAAATGAGCGTAAAAAACTTGGAGACGAACTTGAGGGCACCGGCATCGATCTCGAACGTGGATTTGTTTCCAGGAAATACAAATTGTGCTCGAAACAACAAAAGACTATAATGATATATACCAGGAAAAGGCTGTAAACATTCGAAAGAAACTGTTCTAGAAACGATCATAAAAACAAAACAAAAAGATTCGTTCCTGTCATTATAAGCCCCACTAAAACATGCAAAATCCTAATTTAAGACGAAACATAAATGAAGTTTAACATTAAAAATTTATTAAATAAAAGCTTATTTGCATGCCATAGGCTTCGAGTTAGGCAATGAATACTTGTATTCATTGCTTAATTAAGCCGGCGAAATTCATCTCAGTCCACTCTATTGCACTTTAATACAATTTACTCCAACCCAAATACACTCTAATACATCATAAGAAATTCTAGCAAGCGCTTTCTGACCCTTTACAATCCAACCCAATCTACTAGTTTTAATTTCAAAGAACTTCAGTCAAATTCAGTAAAACAATTTATTCCAAACTAGTCTAATCCACTATAGAAGGGGGGTAAGTTTCTATGAAACTGTGGTGCTGCGTCGGTGGGAGAGTGTAACAGGGTAATTTCAAGTGAAATAGAGTTCATTTGCTTGGATAGAGATTAGGTAATTTAGTATTATCAACTGAGTTGATAACGTAAATTGGCCACCGTAAAGAGTTTCAAAGCTAAGCCCTTCGTCGTTCGCTCTGACGAAGGGCTAACGCTCGAAACGTCGTCAGCTTTGAAACTCTTTACAGCGGCCAATTTATGTTATCAACTGAGTTGATAATATCAAATTACCTAATCCATGAATAAATGAACTCTATTTCACTTGTACCCACTCCAACTCCTTCTTAATGGTTTTCATTCCTGGTTACCTCAACCTAACTCACTCCAAAGTACACCACCTTGCCTCAGCCGCGTTTAGTTACGTAAAAACTATTCATGAGTTTATGAATGCTTTTATTTCCTCTCACGCAAAAACTATTCATTCATTTACTCAATCACTAACTCATTATATTCACTTATTCACTCGTTCTTTCATCATTGCTTCATTCATTCATTCTTTCGCCAATTGCCTTTCTCTAGTACTGAATGGCCAAATTTAGAACTCTTTATGGGGTGTTCACACGTTGATAGCACTAGGACATTATTAAACAATTCATGACATCTATTCATTGTGTTCAATTACGAGTAGGTTTTGCCTTCTAGTATGATAAAACAAAAACAGGTTCATATTTAAACGGATCGTAGTTTTCATTCTATTATATTAACAAAGGAATGAACGACATGTTATTCCCCAAACTATCAGTTATAAGTACACAGTACACTAAAACAGTGGATGGCGTTAAAGGCGCGCTACGAATATCCTTTGCTATTTATCTCCGAGTTTTGCGCTCCCTCGCGTTGCAGGAATAAATTAGTTAAAATTATCTTTTTGTGCTAAGTTATGTCACTGTTTTCGCATATACTTAAAAAACTATTCACTTCAGTGTCGACAGCTAACGGTGGATGATTACCTTGCTTTGCGGCTCGGTAAATATCCACCACTAGCCACCTTCACTTCGGCGGAGAGTTGATGACAATTACACAGATTTGGCCAAGCCTAAAAGCGGAGCTCCAGTTAGTTTATTTTCTGGTCCTTCATTTTATCAGTATTTCTTACTGGGTGTTGAACAGTTTATTCAAGGAAATTTAGGGACCATTTATCAACTATAGAGAAGGGGGACGTGGAGTCAATGACTTTTTGAAGAGCGTTAGTCAAGAGCGAAGGCTATTTTCCTTTCTTCATTTAAAAAATAAGGGGGTTATCAACTTGTTACAGGCACAGTGGACAATAAGAGTGATTCTGTCGGTGATAATGACTAGATTATTTGTGAAAAAAACCAGAGGAGGATAAAAAGCGGGACATGAAATTTTCTGCGCAACTCTTATTTTAGTTTCAAAATCTGGCTACCATGCTAAGGCACTCCTATTTTTGCCTTGCGCATTATGCGCATGCTTATTACTTTAAACTTAATGCATCAAAATACAAAAAAGGTGCTATAAATCTACATTTATGTGCCCCAAAAGATTAAAGAGGGGGAGGCAGGCCAAAGAAAAAACTTAAACTAAAAGAGGAGGGCACCTAATAATTTCAGGCCTCAGTGAAGGACGACCCTTGCTTTTCCAGGTTGCCACCTTTTGAAAACTTACGTATCATGTCAAAAATCGATTATCTCAAAATTTCCTTTGTGGAATGGGTATCAGTATTTCTAAGAACATTGTAATTGAAAGCTTGAGCTTGAGTATTTGAAAACGCTATTCAAATAAATTTTCATGCTGAAATGTGGTACATGTAACTTAAGCATAATTATACTTGCACAATTCTAAACAAAGGATGTCAAGCTTCAGACTCGTCTGCAACAACTTTTGAGGGATTTAAGAGCAACAAAGAACAAAGAAATAAAGATGACAAATAGTAACAAAACAAAGTTGAAAGTTTGAATCCTGAAAGAGAATCTACATTACAACACCAAACTAGATCATAAATGTACTAGAATACTCACGGAATACTCACTTTGTGATGATGATAATAAACGTCGATGAAATAATCTAATACTTTTCTGTCAATATACAAGTATTAATTGTTAGGCAACTGAGGTTGAAAAACTTGAAGGTTAAGGAGGTGCGTGGTTGCTGTGTTGCGACCGAACGGACGAACATGAAACAGTTTATTGAATTCTTGGATCTTAGTTGTTTTCATCAGGATCTTTATATCAAACATATGCTTGATGCTACTGATTTGAACTGGGTTAGTCATTGGGTTAAAAACAGTTTTAGGGACGAGATCTTAAAAAGTTAGGTTTGGATCAAATGTAACGCCAAAATATTTAATTACTTTTTCCGGTAGGAAGCATTTCTCACGCAGCGACAGACGGAAATCACGGAGCTGAGAAAGCAGTTGACGACTACTGTGGAGCATAAACTTCGTCTTATCTGTTTTCAACAGAACAGGCCTCACCCAAAACGCCAGTAACGAATTCATACGAGAATACCATTAACATAAGAGTTTGCACCATTCACAAGAAAATGTAAACTTCGATGTTGTCAACCTAAAGCTTCCAGAAAAACAATGCCTGAAAGTTGATGGTAGATCGTTCACGTTTGATACCGAATAAGGCAGGGGCTAAGACAATTCCTTATTTATACTGAGGACATAGTTATTTGTAATTATACGATTGTGATTGCTCTGCAGTTTTTTTTTGCTCATAGAGAAAGGGTAACTACGTATCCTCATTTCCTTGAAAGTGACTTTTAATAACATGTTTCAAACCTAATTTCACAAGATCAAATAAAACCTTTCGTGTCGATTCTGGTTTACGCCAGTTTCACCACATGCCGAGTTCGTGACGTTCAAGTTCGCTACAAGTTTCGCTGCATATAAGTCGAGTTCGTTTCCTCAGCTAACCAACTTCTCTACCACACAAAACATTACGAATTAAAACGAAGACTATTTCAATGCTTTATGTACTGGCGGGTTGAATATACTGTCACTTACGCCTAGGCAAGAAATATCCTCTAGATCATAAGCTATGTCAGTCGAGCTTCTTTCAATTAACTGATACTCTTCTAAACTTAGGCGTGAACTTAAAGGACAAACAGGATTTACATGAATATGAATTTTGCCAATGAAAGTTTGAAACTCCAGGCATATACTTATGAACTTAAATCCCTGTTGTTCCCTGACGGACTAATGTTTTCCATTTGTAAAGAAAAAGAGCACAAATTTCAAAAGCACCAAAATATCGCATTACTTTACCTTAACTTAAGAAAAAAGATTACTCAAAAATGCTCAATTTTTTAATCGAGCTCTACAGGAACGCTCGAGTCGAAAAATGCAAACCGTCTTTTCTCTCTTTTGGTCGCCAAATCTATACCATGGTCCCAGCCATTCCTAGCGGAGATGCTAGAATCTGGGGATGAGAATCGCGAGCCTCCCTCAATAGGTTTGCCTCTGTCCCTGATATCACACTATTTTTTTCTGCTCAAATATCTGGGGGGTGGTACAAAGGCCGAAATTTTTGCCTGATTACATGGAGTTATTAACATAATTTAAAATGACATCTGTCGCCACAGGATAAAATGATATGGCTGGTTTTTCCCTCTTTTAGCTCCATCCTTGATGAAATCTTTTATTATACCTTGATCACGTTTACATGATAGATGTGTTAGCCTGCCCTGGCTAGTGGCTCGGTCTGTCGGGTAGGGTAACCATATCAGCCAAGGTCGCAATGTGCCATGTAAACGTCTCAAGGAGGGTAACCCGCCTAGCCAGGGTCGCGCTCATGTTACATTTACAAGCGCCAACAACCTCACCCAGGTATCCTGGGGTTGTAAAAATTGTTCGTAAACGCAAGCTATTTTTCGAGCACGGCTAGGCCTACCTGGAGTACCCCACCTTCATGCAAACAATCCCTTAAAAGGAAGACGATGTGACTCCTTGAATGACGTGACGCGCCAGACAACTGGTAACTGCGTGACTTTGATCTTCACTCCCGGGTTTTGGCATGAGAGAAGTTCTTGCCACGCATTTGTGGCCTGAAGGAGAAAGAAATCTGGGAAATTTTGGTGTACTTCTCCCTAACTGGAATGCAAGGTACCATAATGATTCGATTTAGCGCCCTCTTTCCAATAGGCACTTCCTCTCTAAGAGAGCGCCCCCTTCGAATCTGTTTTTCCAATAAGCGCCCCTTTTCTAATAAGCGCCCGTATTGAGTAAGCACCCTTATTCCAATAAGCGCCCCTATTCTGTTTCATTAATTGCACTGCTGAGTGCTTGTACACTGAGATCAACCGTGGTCCATCTTCCTTTAATTGCTCGCGTGAAGCCTCACGACAAAAAAGTAGTCTTCGTCTCAGTTTTTCAACTATTATGTCGCTGTTAGTGCTCAGTTTCTTAAAACGAAAGATCCTGTCTTTTGCAACAATTGCTCGGCAAGTCGTTCTAGCAAGGAAGGGCCCACGGACAATAAGTGAGTTTTCCAGTCTTTTTGATCCCCAGTCCAATAATAAACATCAAAGCTTTATTTCACATTCTGCTGATTCTCAAAAAAGAGATAAGCACCTTGTCCCCTAAAGGAGAGCGCCCTGTTTCAAATAAACGCCCTCCCTTAAACTAGCAAAAGTAAAGAAGCGCCCGTGGCGCTAAATCGAATCATTACGGTTGTGCAAAAGCTAACT